TGTGTGTGTGTGTGTGTGTGTGTGTGTGTGTGTGTGTGTGTGTGTGTTTGGAGGTGGGGTCACTGGGAAAGAAGACTTCCTCTGGAGAAGAATTAGCCAACCATTACTCCTGGATCCCATGAACAAAGTTGAAAATTAGAAAGAAGGTTTCAGAACAGCACTGCTGTTTTCTTTAGTGAGGAGAAAACTGGTTTGGTGAGGTCTGTGGGCTTAAGACGACGCGTGGCTTTTCCACTCACCCTGCTCAGCAGTTCATTCATTTCCGTCACGAGGGTGTTCAGATTGCCCTCTGCCACCTGAATGAGCCTCTCCGGTGCCCGCTGGGGTGAGAGCAGATGCTGAAAAAGATTTCAGGCCATGTACATCTTAGTAAATGGTTTGGTAGCCATGCTAGGGTCAGACAGAGCACATTTTTTTTTCCCTGCATGCACTGAATACTTAGCATTGCTGTCCGCAATAGAAGAGAAACTACCCTTAGTGGGCACTCACTCACGCACTGCCATGCCAGGTAGTCATGTAAATGTGAAGACTTGCTGCGGGTTATTGAGAAATTACCATGTTCTATTTTTTTTTGTTTATTCCCCCCCACCAACCCATTCACTTCTTATAAGAACCCTGCGAGGTAAATGGCACCCCATTTTCTGGATGAGCGAACTCTGGACTGCAGAGAATTTTTACAAAAGGTCACCAGCTGGTAATTGGTTGTACTTAGAACGACTGTTGGATTATTAAGATTCCCGTTTCAATCAGCACAGCTGTAGTTCACAAGGGAGAACGAGAGCAGCCCCGACTGCAAGGACCTTGCTTGGGAATTTGAACCTGTGGTCAAGATTGGAAGTAGTTGGCTTTACACACACGCTGTGCAGAATCCTCTATAATCTGTAATTTCCTTTTATACAGGGCCAACCTGTGGTAGTGATGAAGGAAATTAAAATTGGTCTGCTCTGTAAGCTTGACAAAGGGTTGACAGCTCCATGTCCTTGTACAGATCATAAAAGTACCGCAGTGCCCATTTCATGACTAATAGGAGGGATCATTGCTCCTTATTAATCACAACTTCAGCCCTCCATTCCTCTAGATAAGATTCACTAGAATTTGCATTTAGGGCTTCACTTCCACTTTCTAATGACTGAAGGGACTTCAAGGTTCTGCATCTGGGAACTTGTTCCATTTACAGAGGCCAAGCACAAGTCTAAATGTGGCATGTCATTCCTTATCCTTCTCACCGAGATGTTACACGATTCCCCCATGCTGTTTAATGTCAATGATGGCAATAAGTAAATAAACCCAGCTTTGGCCATCACGTGTGTAGTTCTGGTGGCCTTTGACGAAAACTTGGGAACCACAACATAATATAATATAGTACCGAGATGTTCTAAGATATCAAAATGGATCTTAAGTTTTCATATAATAGATGTATTATAGAACAATAATTGAAGTAAAGAATGAAGGAAGACTGGAATTTAAGAATTATGGAGGTCATTTTCATGAACTCTGGAACATAAGGAAGAGAGGTGTCAGAAGTCTTTGGTGTTGATGATGCTCACGGGTAGAACCTCTTCTAGAGGGACTCCAGGAAACTCACCATCCATTGGTAACACACTATTTTTTAAAAATATGTTTATATACAACTTAAATATTTGCTTATCTAATTTATTTTCTTGTCTGCATTCTCTCTCTGTATTGAAAATAGCTGGCTGGCCTCATCTGCATGAAGGGTTTTATGTTCTTGAATATGAGACTATGAGGTAAATAGGTTGTAGTCTAGCTTTCAAGGTTGTCCTTTGTATTGCCCTGCCCCCTAGGGTTCCAGCCTTATCTCTCACACACAGGCCTGACTTCTAATGTGACCAGACAGGCACAAGGCATCTCCCTGCCACACGCAGGTGGCTCTCTTAAGCAAGAATAGGTGGTAAGAGCATGGCCTGGGGCCAAGGAGGCCTCACTACTGACTGACTAGATCTCCCATATGAATTATTTTTGTCTCTTCAAGGTTGTAAAAAATGTTCAGCCTCAAAGGCCCTAATACTGCTTCTATTCAGATCTCCCCTCTTCACTTATTAGCTGGGCAATTGGGCTTCAGACAGAACTTTACTATGCCTCAGTTTTCTTACCTAAAGATATTTAACATAGTACTTCTTTTTTTTTTTCAGTCATTTCAGACTATTCCAACAAAAATTACCACAGATTAGGTGGCTTGAACAAAACGTACAGGTCTGGAAGCTGACTGGTGTAAGGTTGTCAACTAATTTGGTTGCTGGTGAGTACCCACACACGGTTCTCTGGTTCTCTTTCCCTGTGTGCTGAAATGGCTGGCAGAGAGACAATTCCTCCTCCTGCTCCTTCTCCTCCTCTTCTAAGGCTATTGTACCACGAGGGTTTTGGTTCATTCCTCAGTTTTAACAATGATCACCTCCCAAAGATTTGGTTTCAAAATGCTATCACAATAGGAACTAGGGCTTCTGTAGCTCACAAATGGATGTGTTGAAATGCTAGTCTACTAGGTTAATGATGCTATCAAGTGTGCTTTTGAGAAGTTACCAGGTGATGAAGGGAAACCCCTTCTGCTTGGGATTACCCTTTGAAATATACCCAGAGAGCTCAGAATTCTTGCTACTATAGGAGGCCAGAGCAAGGAGTCGCATATACACAAGGAATGATCCCTTACCAGACATTGAGTCTTCCTTAAATTTGGGCTTTCTAGACAGCTGAACTGTTAAAATTGCATTTCTATTGTTCATAAGTTAGATAGTTAAAGCATTTTGTTGAAGCAGCCAAGCAAACTAAGTCAAAGCTCCATCCAATTTAGAAACGTAGGGGGACATAAACTATTTATCAAAACCCTATTTTCTTTTTTGGGTTGTTGTTGTTATTGCAAGAACCTTGTGTTATCATACATGCATGATTTTAATTACATAACTTTCCAACAAAAGTTGTTTTTACTGCCACCATTAAGGCAGTGGTGAGGATTAAAGAATATATTCCTTAGGAACATATCTGCTACCAGCTAGTGAGTGAAGTAAAGAGGTCTTCCCCAATCCTCACCAGCACTTCTCTTCCCTTGGAAACCTCTACCATTTGGGTCCCAGCAAAACTAGGCTCTCATCACCGCTGCTTTCACTAGTTACTCCAAATCTTACCAGTTTTTCCAATTTTTTTTTTTTGTGCTTCAAATCTTTAGAAGGCACATGGTACTTCTACAGTTTTGCTAATGGCTTAAGTATTGTTTAACTTTTTTTTATTAAACAACAGAGAATCTATGCAAGCTTACTGAAGATATGGGAAAACCAGAGGAGTTAAGAAATGTACCGAGAACTGAGTGTAGCTGGGGATCCTGCACCTTCTCAACAAGAATTTGATAACTGGGTGACAACATGCAGGAAACTGCTCTGAACTCATTCTGAACCACATTAATCTTATAAATGTTGCTGCTAGCCTTTCACAGATGGAAAGCTTTGGCAATGTTTCTAGAATAGTGTGCCTTGAATTGGTACCTTCAGAATCACTTTAGGAGTTGCAACATTTTAGTCTTATCTTTTTCAGTAATAATAAAGAGTAGCTAAAGCTTTTCTGGCTCCCAGAATAAGTAATTGGGAGATGGATGCCAGCATTTGATCTTAGGACCTACATCTGCATGGGTCAAAGGTCAATATGAATATATAAGTTACTCGTGCTTGTCACTTTAGGACCCCTTGGAGGGGGCTATTCCGTTCCATTGCAGGAATGCAGACTGAGAAACCAACTGCCACCTATAGAGGAGTTGGGATGTAGTCAAAATCATATTCTCCTTGCGAGAAGCAATTCACTTTCAGTCCAAATCATATTACTTTAGATTAATGCTTTTAATTTGAGTTTTATTGGTTTTGAAGACTTCTATATGGATTAATTTGTTTTGATTTTATGGCGCTATAAGTATAAGGGAGTACATACCTAATTTTATGTTTGCACATATTTAAGTTACATAATAAAACTGATTTAGGACAAACAGAGGGGTATATAAAAGTATTTGCTTTTTATAGCACTCTGCATATTACAGTTCTTCAGTTTGAAACACCAGTTTGGTTGTTGCATTTCCTGGTTGGGGGCCATAAAAGGAACATGTACTAATGACAGCCAAGACCACTTGGGAAGCATCTAATGTTTCAGGTCCTGGCCCTGCAGCTGTGAGTGCCCCCACTTACCTTGAGTTCCCGAGTTGTATTTTCAAGACCATATAGAATCTTATACGGAGCAGGCAGCGGACCAGTGAGGTTGATAGTCATGGCCATCTGCTCCAGACGAGCCAGGTCACCAAGAAGAAGGCCTGTGCACTCATCGCCACAAACTGGGAAAGGGAAATAACAAGGAACGTTTACTCATGCTACGCACTCCAGCCAGATGTTCAAAGATATCAATTATGGAGCACTTTATGGTCCAAGCACAGTTCTATGAAAGAAGGTGAGATGCATCTCAGATAATTAACGCAATCACACTGATGGCGGCTGAAGAAAGATGGGGAAAATAGAAGATCAAGTTGTATCTGATCACACAGTAACTAGAGGGACCAAACAAGAAGAGCAGATTGAGTTTGCACAGTGTGGAGGGGGAAGCATGTTGAAGAACTGGTAAAAGAAAAAGATAGCATACAACATAAATCTGTGAGAACACGGTGGTAACACTGCATCAGACTGTTCACTATGGCGCACGCCTTTAATCGCAAGAGGCAGAGGCAAGCAGATACCTGTGTGTTCAAAGCCAGCCTGGCTAGGACTGTTACACAGAGAAATCCCATCTCGAAAAACAAAACAAAACAAGCAAACAAACAAACAAACAAATGTTCACTGCATCCAAACGTTGCGGTACATCATCTTCCATGGTATTGCTTCACATCTGTAGCCATTTCTCCTGCAAAGACTTTGTGTACTATGAAAAAGGTATATAAGCATTATCTTGTTATATAGTCAGAAGAGTTTGTGTGTGTTTGTATGTATTATATATACAAGGTTCAGGCATACACGTGGGTATGCTGAGTGACTGTGGATGTCAGAGGTCAATGTTAGGGGTCTTTCTTTTTTCTTTTCTTTCTTTCTTTTTTTTAAAATTTTGGTTTTTCGAGACAAGGTTTCTCTGTAGCTTTGGAGCCTGTCCTGGAACTAGCTCTTGTAGACCAGGCTAGTCTCACACTCACAGAGATCCGCCTGCCTCTGCCTCCCAAGTGCTGGGATTAAAGGTGTGCGCCACCACTACCTGGCTGGAGTTCTTTCTTTAGTGCTCTTACTGGCCCAGGGGTTCCTGTTTTGACTAGGCTGGCTGTTCAGCAAGTGTCAGAGATACTCACGTGTCCACCTCTCTAAAGTGGGTGGTTACAGGTGCGTGGTGTTACACTCAATTTTCCTTGGGTGCTGAGGCTATGAACTTAGGTCCTCATGATTATGGGGCAGTCACTTTACTGACAGAGCCCTCTCCCCTCCTCACCCCCGACAGAATCTTATAAGCCCCCATGAAAGAACCTTTCTTTCCACGATGACTTTTCCTTGTCTCGATGTTTACGGTTTTGGCTAGCATTTCCTCCTTTCCTCAAGTGTTTTAGCTCTCACAATGAGCTGCAGCACCACAAATCTCTACTGTGACGATAAATTTATCCAGTCTTGCAAATACACAGTTCCTAAAGGTAGAGCAAGATCTAATCTCTAAGTAACTGGCTTTTCTAGTATCATTCATATTATCCTGAATGATCAAAGAGGAGAACTATTCAAATGTGGTAGTGGTAGAGAGGGTTGTGGTAGAGTATGTAGAAAGATAAATGGACTTTTGTCAGGCCATTACCAAATTAAAGTGTCATCACAGTTTCTAAAGAGAGGATATATCCATTCTTTGGAAAATGTAACGTGTATTTACTTAATATTTCATTTTTTTTTGAAACAAGGTCTATGTCATAGCCCAGACTAGTCTTAAATTTGCTATGTAGCTGAGGACAACCTTAAAATTATGGTCTTCTGTCTTCTATCTTCTGAGTGTTGGGATTACAAGCATGAATTGCTTTGCCTAGTTTATGCAGTACTGGAAGCCAGGGCTCTGTGCTTGCTAAGTAAGTACTCTCCAACTAGTTTTATTTTTGGCTCCATACTTTGAACTTTTTAATAAGACATGTATCTTTATACCAGGAAGCACAAACTGCCATAATTACAGTATATACATAAATCCATGTAGACAGATACAAATTCTGTCTTCTAATCTGTGGATAGATAAAAACTATATTCATGTTAGAAGAGAAAAATATTTATACCTATCTGTCTGTCATCTATCTGTCTATCTATCTATCTATCTATCTATCTATCTATCTATCTATCATCTATCTAACTATCATCTGTTTATCTATATCATGAAAAACACAGAGTTCTGGAGAATAGAATTGGCTCATGCCCCACACTGGCAAGAATTCAATTAGTTCTCTAAACAACACTCTCCTGAGCACTTAATGGAGAGAAAACCAATTGCAGAAGCTTGTAAACAAAGGGCAGTAGTACAGAGGGTGATTTTTTGGATAGGACAGCAGTTAGAGGTGAGCTGCCATATCCCTTCACAGGGGTTTAACAGCCCCAGCAGGGCTTTTAATAAATCAGCTCCTTGCAGGTGGCAAGTACAAGCGTGATATGTCATCTGAGTTCCAATGCAAGCTGCTTCCATTTCACAAGTGAGTGAACAGGAGGCTCTGGAGGCAGGAGCTAAAGTCTAGACCTGGAACCCTGTATCTCACTGTTCAAGTTGAAAAGAAAGGGAACTTCTGCACGTGAAAACACAAAGAAAGGAAGGAAGAACAGTGACCTCTTCACACCTTTGGGCAGTGAGAGCCTCAGTAGACCTGTCAGCATTCAATCACTGTAGAAAACACATCGCAAGACACAATAAAGTGCTGGCTCGTATAAAGATGTGAAGGTCCTCAGTGTGGTTCTCAGACACTACTGCAGCTCTGAACCACTGGGAAGGCTCTCAGACCTTCAAAGGACTAGGCAACCTTATGGGTTTCGGATTCTGGAGGTGAAGCCAGGCCATGCTTCCTGATGCTCATGCTGAGAATACACTTTCCTGAAAGGACTTTGATAGTGTCCGCTGGGCATGACACTGTGAGCAACAGGAAAAATATCAGTCTTGGTAGTGCCTGGGGACTTAATAGGCATGCAGGGTCCTGTACATATCCACCCCACTCCAATTCTACCCCAGAGACAGCACAGTCTGTATTTCAGAACGATTTTATGGAACCCACACATAAATGTCTGGAGACCAAGGGTTTTTAACTAGGAGTGCACAACAGAATCATAGAAATTCACAGCGTGTTCAAGCCTGGACCTTTCCCTTTTCACCTCCTGGAAACTTGGGTTGAATATGTCCATGAAAAAAATTCAGCCATTAGTATTTCTAAAAGATTCCAGTTGTTTGTTGCATCCAGAACTTTGAAAGAGTGTGCCATATGAAAGATAGTGGTGATACACAATACCCAATATCCAAACAAGGATGTTACCTTGCTTGTGGCCTCCTCCGTTTGTAACATTTCATCTTCACCCACCTGGTTCCTAAGAAGTCAAATGTGTGACTTCCTCAGAAGGCTTGATGTCTGAAGCTACTGTTGAATGAGTTAATAAGTCATAAGTTATTCCTGTATTCCTCATGTTTTTCCAATTTAACCCTTGTGATTGTACTGGCTAGTATATTTTCTTGTTTGCATATGTCTAAATTGTTTCTCCTTGACTTTAGAACAGACTTTAAACATCTTTACTACACTGTCTAGACCATTATACATAGTAAAAATTTAATGAATGTTTGTGCATTATTATCTCTATGAAAGGAGGATAAGAAAATATTTTAGACAAAGAGTAGCAAGGATCAATATTTGAAGAAGTCTCCTAGCATAATCATACATTCACGAACAAAGAGAAAAATAGGGAGGTAAGAATTTGGGATCAAAGAGAGAAAGGTGTTGGTCACATAAGAAATGTCTGAGGTGAGAATGGTATGTTTGATAGCCAATGGAGAGCCATATAGATGTGTAAGGAGTACAAGATAGGATAAAAACAATAGTTGGAGAAAATATAGTGGCTTGCTGACTAGAAGGGCAGAGATTGTCTGAATCCAAGACAGATAGTCGTCCTTATTACTGTCCTGGGAGCATACCTAGAGAATTTTATATCTCGGTACTGATATACTTGCTTATCTATGTTTATTGTTTCTCAACTTACAACATCTAAGAGATCCAATCAGCTCAGATGTCTACCAACTGATGAATGAATAATGAAAATGTGGTATATATACACAACATAACTGTATTCAGATAGAAAAAAATGAAATTATGAACTTTGAAGGTAAGTGAGTAGAAGGAGAAAAATGTTATGAGTGAGATAACCTAGGCATTAAGACAACTAAACAAACACTGTGTTCTCCCGCATCTGTGGATTCAAGCCAATTCTTTAATTTACATTTCCCTTATAGGCCAGAAGTCTTAAGGAAGGGAAGACAGTATAATATAGATAATATGAAAGTGATTCTGGGAGTAGGGAGATACTGGGAGAATAAAGGTTTAAACAGGAAGAGGAGGAGAGAATAGTATAACAAGGAGGTGGGAGGGCTAGCCAAAATGAAGTATGAAAAAGCCAATGGAAATCTACTATCCTAAGACAAACAAACAAAACAAAACAAAAAAGCACATTTCATCTTAAAAATAGAGTTAGAAATGAGATACCTTCCCAATGGGAAAATTTTTATCCAGAGACTATGGGTTGTTACACAAAATTTTCAATGACAGGCGTGGACTATTTCCTTATGGGAATTAGTTTAGGAGTACCTCTAGACTCCAGATTAGAAATCTGGAGTCTAGAGTTCTCCAAAGCCATGAAGGCTATTGTCATTTTCCTTGGTGACCCTTCAGAACTGGACAATAAGAGTCTATTGCTGAAGACATGACACACAATAACTGCATGATAAAATCTAAAATTGAGCTGAAAACCCCTCCCTGATGGCTTAGCTTTCATAGTGCTGGAAGTTAATTTGGGGAAGAAAATGAATTGGCAGTGTTAGCAACTTTGAATGTTCACTCCACAGGAGAGAAACCATATCTGGTACTACAAACTAACTCAAAAGAACATTGTGGGAGAGATCAGAGAGTCTACATGGGAATATAAATGTGTTGTCTACATACATAGTGAGGAATGTATTTGTTTATATCCATAGACAATCAGCATTCTCAACTGTAATCAGAGAAACCTCTGTTCCCACTGAACTATGGTGGAAGTAGAAACCTGGCTGTAAAAGATACTGGGAAGTAACAGTTGGGTGTTCAGATCTACATAAGAC